TAGTAATCTGGTCATCAGTAATAAAATGCCATCGACACACACGGAGTTGCACTGATGATGTGCAAATAAGTATGAAAAACGCTTGTAGGAAGAGAATCTGTGTGGAGACATTTGCATTGATTTGTCATGGTCGAATTATTATTCATCATGTATAAATACAGACTATGATAATATATTTAAAAACTTACGTCGTAGGTGCTGCGTTTTTAACACTGTTAAAATTGACAGCATCATAAATGTTATAGGTTTCAATATTCAAGGTTGAAATACTCAAATATTAACTCCGAACACTTAATATGTAACGATAACTTATGGAGGACCTGCAGGTTTCAATCTGTTTAAGATTGTAAAATTCATTATTTTAATAGGAAATCATATTTGGTTTATATTATTTCACTGACATCTGGCGAAAACATATCTAAATGACAAATAATTCAATGTTAACCGGAATCTAATCTCTTTCATATGACTTCATTGTGGCAGTAAATTAGGATTTCGGTTCAGTAGTCTAGAGGGTAATTATCCACGTGTGAAATAATCGGCTCTGGGTTCAATTCAGGTGGTGTGTCGTGAATGAGCAATGTGGAGTAATTCCATATTCAGGTGAGATGATTTCTCAGTGCTTCCATGTTCTTAATGAATGTCTAACTTCGACCAATTTGTGATCTGGATAACATTCAATAATCCCTACGACTCCTATACTGATAAAAACGTATCTTTTTATCTGTAAACCGGAATGAAATGATTGTGTTGGAAATTCGGAAATAAAATGCATATTTTGTTTAATAAACTGTTTTTATTATGGATAGTTTTGATTTTACAAAAGTGACATTTAATGTACACTGCTTGGATAACCAGTGGTTAAAGCGTTGTCAAACCCCAAATACCTGTGGCATCTTCAGTACATATCTATAAGATGTTTATTTTTTGATGACCTCAAAATAGCTTTACACTTCTGATTTTAATTACAAGTGACAGTTTTTAAATGGTTCATCCAAGCCTGAAGTATATAATTCCTTACGTACTTACGTCATACGCCACCCACCAGCATTCTCCATCCAACTCTGTCCTGTGCAGTCACTTACAGTTGATTCCAGTTGCTATTCATCCCTTTCATGTCTGCTTCCAGTTCTCAACGCAGTGTGTTCTCTGACCTTGCTCTTTTTCATTTTTTTCAGGATTCCAAGTTAGGGCTTGCCTCGTGATGCAGTTTGGTGATTTCCTCAATATATGTTCTATCCAGTTCCAACGTCTTTTCCTGATTTACTAATCAGCTGGAAATTGATTCGATCTCTCCCACAGTAGGCTATTGCTGGTATCCGGCCAACGGATATTGAGTATCTTGCGTAGACAGCTATTTATAAATACTTGTACCTCCTTGATTATGGTTGCAGTGGTTCTTCACGTTTCAGCTCCGTACAGTAGAAGTGTCTTGACGTTCGTATTGAAGATTATAACTTTGATATTGGTTGAAAGTTGTTTTGCGTTCCATATGTTCTTCAACTATAGGAATGATGTTCTTGCTTTACCAATCCTTGGCTTTAGGCCTGCATCCGATCCTCGTTGTTCATCGATGATGCATCCCAGGTACGCTGAAGGTTCTACATCTTCCAGAGCTTCTCTATCAAATGTGACTGGGTTGGTGTTATCTGTGTTGTGTTTAAGGATTTTGCTTTTACGTCTGTGTATACTGAGGCATACTGATTCATAGGGTTGTCCTTATTGGCATTTGTGCATGTGTATGGGACAGAATAGCCAGGTCATCTGAGGAGTCCAAATCTTCTAATTGATTCTGTGCTTTCATTTAAACGTCCAGGTTTTCATAATCCAGTCGACCACCAGAAGAAAGAGGAAAAGGAAAATAAGCAGCCTTGTCTGACTCCGGTCCTCACTTGGAATGTGTCTGTCAGTTGTCCTCTATGCTCGACTTTGCAGTGTAGTCCGTTGTATGAACTCCGTTTGGTGTTGACGATCTTTTCAGGTATACCATAGTGTCGAAGAAGTTTGTATAAGGTTCTCCTATCCACACTGTCAAACGCATTCTCGTAGTCAAGGAAGTTGATGTATAGTGACGACTTCCACTCAACTGACTGTTTGACGATGATCCGTAGTGTCGCGATTTGGTTTGTGCACAACCGATCCTTACGGAGTCCAGTGTGTTGATTTCATAGCTGAGCATCCACTGAATCTCTTATCCGGTTAATCAACAATCTGTTACGAGTGATTCTTACTGTTAATTTAATTGCATGCAACCGTTTATCTGGTCTAGCAACATTCTGTAGAAAACTTTCTCTGGTACTGACAGTAATGTGATGCCTCTGTAGTCCTCACAAATTTCTCAGATCTTCATTCTTTGGTATCTTGATGAGGTATCCTTCTTTCCAATCTGTCGGCACTTGTTTCTCCTCTCAAATCTTCCTGAATAGGACGTCAAGCATAATTGCAGTTGCTTCTATGTCTGACTTTAGTGCCTCAGTTGGTATATTGTCAGGTCCTGCTGCTTTTCCGCTCTTGGCCGTCCTGACTTCTCCCGTCGTTGGTGGGGTGACATCTATATGGAGGTCTGTATGTGCTGTTTCAATAACGGTGGATTCAAAGGAGCTGGTCTTTTCAAGAGTTTCTAGAAGTGTTCTGTCCATCTTTTCATCTGTTCTTGAATCACAGTGATTGTCATGCCTTCCTTGTCCCTGAACGGTCTCTCTGGTTTACTATATTTCCCTACTGGTCTCTTCGTTGAGTCATAAAGCTGTCTCATATTTCCTTCTCTTGCAGCTTCATCCTCCGTCGTGGCTAACTCTTCCATGTATTTCTGTTCGTTGGCTCTAATGCTCCCCTTCACTTGCTTGTCTGCTTCAGTGTATTCAAATAGTGCCTTGACTTTCTCTGCTCTTGTTTGGCTTTTGTGAATTGCTGTCTTCTTCCTTTCTTGAATCTTTCTCAGGGATTCGATGGAGATCCATTCCTTACGATGATGCTATTTGCGGCCCAGTACCACCCGACACGTTGAAGTTAATGCTTCATTGATACCTTTCCAGTTGTCCTCCATAGTAATTTCTTCTTTCAGTAGATCCTGAAAGGTGTGGAACCTGTTGTAGAGAGTCATCTCAAATTGATTGAGTTTGTCATAATCTCGAAGGAAGACTGTATTGAACCTTTGTAATGCTGTTTACCAAGCTGTTCAGTGTTTCTTCAAGTACAGTTTGATCTTGGCAACAACCATGTCAGCTCCTCCCTTGGTCCTGACGCCTTCTATTTTCCTTCCGAATTTCTTAGTGATTCAAATATGATCTATCTGGTTCTTCGTGGTGTGATCCGGTGAGACCCATGTAGCTTTGTGTATGCGTTTGTGTGTAAATATTGCACCACCGATAAGCAATTTGTTGAATGCACATAGGTTTGCAAATCTCTCCCCATTTTCGTTCCTTTCTCCCAGTCCATATCGTCCCATGATATCTTCATGACCGTTGTTGTCCATTCCGACTTCGACGTTTAGATCTCTCATCAGGATGCTCAGGTCCTGTCCTGAGCACATAGCTATGATTGATTGCAGCCACTGAAGAACCGATTTTTATCGTCGTCACTTCTATAATTCGTGGGTGCATAACAGTGGTTAACATTTATTGTGATTCTCTCCTTCTTTGCTTTGAATGATGCTTTGATGATCCTAAATCCATGAGATTCTCACTCAGTAAGTGCATTTCGTCCCTCTTTAGACAACATCAAAGCAACTGCCTAACTGTATGGAGCATTTTCCTCTTCATGACCGGAGTACAGCAGCATCCTTTACCCGAGTTTGGGGCTGGCAGTAACTTTAGAAGAGCTATAGACGGAGTTCTGAAGAATATAACCTTTGTCAATTTGGCTATCTATTACGTTTTCTATAATAACAGTATTCTCGTGTTCACAAAATCTATAGTCGATGAATCATGAATAAGTCTATCAAGACCAACTGCTCAAAAGCCTATGGAATAACTGAAAAACCCACTTTTGACGTAGGCACTAATGATGTTGTTTGGGATGACTAAAAAGCTTCGGAAATGAATCACTCAACTCAGAAAACAAATAACATCGAAAGCATCCACCTAAGCTATAAGTCGTCTCTATCTCTTTCAAACGCAATATGTACTTCCCACCTATGTAAATAAACCAATGTTTGAATCAGCTTCATTTTTCATATGTTCATAGAATTCATTATTCAATCATATAAAGCTTTTAATGGATTTCAGTCAACAGACAAAAGATTTAGATTATTGGTTAGTGAGATAGTTCATTTATAGAAAACTTTTCGGTGACTAATATCAGTTATACTCTACTGAAATATACATAAAATGAACGAGTATACAAAATAGTGTACAATCTGTTATTAGTTTGCCTTTTTGTGGCCCGAGATCTGACTTCAATAAGATCATATGATTGCTTGTTGATTGTTATTAAAATATAAATATCGTCAATCCCCGTATATAATTATCGACTTAAATCGCGTTAGTGAATAACGGAATTAAATAAGTCAAATACAAGAATGAATGTTTGAATACGTATATTTCGTACACTCACTGATCTGGAAAGACAATCAGATGTATGGAGCAAATAGAAGAGAGCGAAGCGAAGTGATGCGTGGTGGAGAAGGCGTGTGAGCCAACCACATTTCGATTAAGAGTTAATAAGTATTTATGGTCACATAAAAACAAGTTACAGACATGTGATCAATAGTAAGAAAAGTGTACACACACTCATGTAAAAACAGTCAAGGTTGATAAGTGAATAATTAACAAGGTCAGAACGTGACTCAAGAAGAATGGATAAATTGGCCTGTCCAGAAGCTAAAATAAGCTATGTGGACTTAACATAGAGATTGACCTTATAACTTTTCCTCTTATTCACGATATACTTAGTAAACATTGAAAACTGAACAATGTAATAAGTTCAATAGAGGCGATTTCAAAACTTTCACAAAACAGATCAAACAAAACAGTAGAATGGTTTAATATAAACAACTTACGGTAAATTTGGTTGAGGTTTGGCTCTGTCAAGTATATTATAATCATAAATCTAATTAGAAATTGGTATTTGAATATCATTATGTAATGTAGATCAAGCTGTATCATTTTATCACATGAACGATCGAAAGTATAGTCTAATTTCAACAATTAACCTAAACTTACAATGACTAGATATCAGAAGACGAAACAACTACTCAGCAATGAGTCATTTTACACTACGAAAACCAAACTAATACACACAGTACTCAACATAAATAATATGATTTAAGTCCAATTAAAACCAATAGGATTAATGCATTTCAATATTGTAGATCAATTATGAACCAGTAGATTGAAGCATGAAAATCGGACCCATTTATATCCTGTTGGAAAATTTGTAAGAATATTAAAAAAATTTGATATTCCTCATAAGTTATACGTTTATTCCTGTGAAATTCGAAAATAATGGGATTCGGTAAAAAGGAAAATTCACTTGAAAGCTTAGTCCGATAATTCTATATATAGGATTACGACAATTAAAGAAAATCAAGAATACGAAAAAAATAAATAAAAAGCTGCAGATATTTTGCGAAAATCGGTAATGCCTTGATTAAATTTCTAATGACAAATAAGGAGCAAACAGTCAAGCGCAAAGTACAAACTATAAGATTAATATACAATCTAAGAAAATATTTTCGAATAACTTACGTAGAAGGTGCTGCAGGTTTAGGACTGTTAATATTAATAGCATCATATATATGGATAAGAATTCACATCCAAGTATTTTGATCAGATCAACAACAGTCAATCATTAATACAACTTCACCTCGATCACTTCTAAGCTTACTCCCAATCCCATGCTCGGATGAGAGATAAGGATTGGAGATTGGGTTAGTAACAGCATCCCGTACCAATCAAACTTGCTAAACAAACGCTAACCAGAAATTATCATTTAAAACGATTGAAGCTCTGTCTTAAGTGTCGAATAGTCTTCTCTCGTATGTGCTACGATGCTTGATGATGAAAGCTACGATTGTTCAGAAATCACGAGATCAATGACTCTCCTGACAACCAGGACACCAATTATTATAGGTACATGCAATGTTCGCACAATGTGGGAGATCTGACTGGTCATTCAAGTATCTGTGGAATTCGGAAGATACAAACTGACAGTATTTGGCATTTGTGAAACACATTGGAAGCAATCTAAACAATAGAGATTATCTTCGGTAGGGGTGTTGTAGTAATCTGGTCATCAGTAATAAAATGCCATCGACACACACGGAGTTGCACTGATGATGTGCAAATAAGTATGAAAAACGCTTGTAGGAAGAGAATCTGTGTGGAGACATTTGCATTGATTTGTCATGGTCGAATTATTATTCATCATGTATAAATACAGACTATGATAATATATTTAAAAACTTACGTCGTAGGTGCTGCGTTTTTAACACTGTTAAAATTGACAGCATCATAAATGTTATAGGTTTCAATATTCAAGGTTGAAATACTCAAATATTAACTCCGAACACTTAATATGTAACGATAACTTATGGAGGACCTGCAGGTTTCAATCTGTTTAAGATTGTAAAATTCATTATTTTAATAGGAAATCATATTTGGTTTATATTATTTCACTGACATCTGGCGAAAACATATCTAAATGACAAATAATTCAATGTTAACCGGAATCTAATCTCTTTCATATGACTTCATTGTGGCAGTAAATTAGGATTTCGGTTCAGTAGTCTAGAGGGTAATTATCCACGTGTGAAATAATCGGCTCTGGGTTCAATTCAGGTGGTGTGTCGTGAATGAGCAATGTGGAGTAATTCCATATTCAGGTGAGATGATTTCTCAGTGCTTCCATGTTCTTAATGAATGTCTAACTTCGACCAATTTGTGATCTGGATAACATTCAATAATCCCTACGACTCCTATACTGATAAAAACGTATCTTTTTATCTGTAAACCGGAATGAAATGATTGTGTTGGAAATTCGGAAATAAAATGCATATTTTGTTTAATAAACTGTTTTTATTATGGATAGTTTTGATTTTACAAAAGTGACATTTAATGTACACTGCTTGGATAACCAGTGGTTAAAGCGTTGTCAAACCCCAAATACCTGTGGCATCTTCAGTACATATCTATAAGATGTTTATTTTTTGATGACCTCAAAATAGCTTTACACTTCTGATTTTAATTACAAGTGACAGTTTTTAAATGGTTCATCCAAGCCTGAAGTATATAATTCCTTACGTACTTACGTCATACGCCACCCACCAGCATTCTCCATCCAACTCTGTCCTGTGCAGTCACTTACAGTTGATTCCAGTTGCTATTCATCCCTTTCATGTCTGCTTCCAGTTCTCAACGCAGTGTGTTCTCTGACCTTGCTCTTTTTCATTTTTTTCAGGATTCCAAGTTAGGGCTTGCCTCGTGATGCAGTTTGGTGATTTCCTCAATATATGTTCTATCCAGTTCCAACGTCTTTTCCTGATTTACTAATCAGCTGGAAATTGATTCGATCTCTCCCACAGTAGGCTATTGCTGGTATCCGGCCAACGGATATTGAGTATCTTGCGTAGACAGCTATTTATAAATACTTGTACCTCCTTGATTATGGTTGCAGTGGTTCTTCACGTTTCAGCTCCGTACAGTAGAAGTGTCTTGACGTTCGTATTGAAGATTATAACTTTGATATTGGTTGAAAGTTGTTTTGCGTTCCATATGTTCTTCAACTATAGGAATGATGTTCTTGCTTTACCAATCCTTGGCTTTAGGCCTGCATCCGATCCTCGTTGTTCATCGATGATGCATCCCAGGTACGCTGAAGGTTCTACATCTTCCAGAGCTTCTCTATCAAATGTGACTGGGTTGGTGTTATCTGTGTTGTGTTTAAGGATTTTGCTTTTACGTCTGTGTATACTGAGGCATACTGATTCATAGGGTTGTCCTTATTGGCATTTGTGCATGTGTATGGGACAGAATAGCCAGGTCATCTGAGGAGTCCAAATCTTCTAATTGATTCTGTGCTTTCATTTAAACGTCCAGGTTTTCATAATCCAGTCGACCACCAGAAGAAAGAGGAAAAGGAAAATAAGCAGCCTTGTCTGACTCCGGTCCTCACTTGGAATGTGTCTGTCAGTTGTCCTCTATGCTCGACTTTGCAGTGTAGTCCGTTGTATGAACTCCGTTTGGTGTTGACGATCTTTTCAGGTATACCATAGTGTCGAAGAAGTTTGTATAAGGTTCTCCTATCCACACTGTCAAACGCATTCTCATAGTCAAGGAACGCTTGTAGTACGAGATTCTCATGGATCGAGGATCATCGAAGCACCCTACTAAACAAATAAGAAGAGGATTGCAATGAATATCATCCGGTGTCATACGCCCACTAATGATATTAGTGGAGAGATTCCTATTCAGGTGTCGTGATCAAATTAACAATCGTCAGATATTTATACAATCTAAGAAAATATTTTCGAATAACTTACGTAGAAGGTGCTGCAGGTTTAGGACTGTTAATATTAATAGCATCATATATATGGATAAGAATTCACATCCAAGTATTTTGATCAGATCAACAACAGTCAATCATTAATACAACTTCACCTCGATCACTTCTAAGCTTACTCCCAATCCCATGCTCGGATGAGAGATAAGGATTGGAGATTGGGTTAGTAACAGCATCCCGTACCAATCAAACTTGCTAAACAAACGCTAACCAGAAATTATCATTTAAAACGATTGAAGCTCTGTCTTAAGTGTCGAATAGTCTTCTCTCGTATGTGCTACGATGCTTGATGATGAAAGCTACGATTGTTCAGAAATCACGAGATCAATGACTCTCCTGACAACCAGGACACCAATTATTATAGGTACATGCAATGTTCGCACAATGTGGGAGATCTGACTGGTCATTCAAGTATCTGTGGAATTCGGAAGATACAAACTGACAGTATTTGGCATTTGTGAAACACATTGGAAGCAATCTAAACAATAGAGATTATCTTCGGTAGGGGTGTTGTAGTAATCTGGTCATCAGTAATAAAATGCCATCGACACACACGGAGTTGCACTGATGATGTGCAAATAAGTATGAAAAACGCTTGTAGTACGAGATTCTCATGGATCGAGGATCATCGAAGCACCCTACTAAACAAATAAGAAGAGGATTGCAATGAATATCATCCGGTGTCATACGCCCACTAATGATATTAGTGGAGAGATTCCTATTCAGGTGTCGTGATCAAATTAACAATCGTCAGATATTTATACAATCTAAGAAAATATTTTCGAATAACTTACGTAGTTTTGGCTGGGACTTGTGTACTGTTAATTATAAGATCATCACAATTACTTTTATTATTCTGCATTAGAAATTTTATTTGTTATGTAGATTTTTTATGAAATTTTAGCACGATATCCTCTTTTTCTCATTGTCATTATAGATTATGTGTGTTTGATTGTCATGATTTCTTTTGTTCATAACTGTCCGCATTGTCATCGGTTTCCAGATCTCATGTATTTCTCAATTTTGCTTGTAATCTCACACCAAATACGAAATGTTTGCTTTTTGCTAATCTATTTAGTTTTAGATTTCTTTAAGAAGGAATAACCCTTCATAGATCCCATTCATGTTCCTCTGATACTGCTGTTCAAACCGAATATTGCATCTTTGGTTGGTTAAACTACATATTGAACAGATCAATGGATTTTACTATCTAAAATTTCAGGGTGATTAATCATCTGATCTTATGTAACCAACATAATAATCAAGAGAGTTTTGCTCTCTGGTTATGTACTTAATGGAAAGCGGTATGTTGAAATCATATATGTGTAGGTGAACCATTTGTGGACTGTGGTACACTTACCTTAGTAAGCGATCCTCGTAGGGTGTAGTCGATGAACAATTTGATTAGACTAATGTTTAAGTCCTCAGTAATATAGGTTTGTCTGCGATCAACTCCTATTGGATATTCCTAACACTTCCGTCGACATCAGTTTTTTTAAGTAAAAGTTAACTTTTATCTGAAACTTTGTTGTTACCAAACTTCAAACCCGATATTTATTTATCAGTAGAGAAAATACCAAGAAAACTTCCTTGCTCTGTGATTAAAAATGTATTTTTGCATGGTACATTAATGGTTAGAAAGGATTAAATCCTTAACAAATTAATTGATTTTTATGAATGAAACAGTTTTAAAACTTGATCAGTTGTAAGAATGGTAAGCTCATAGAATGTTACAGATGTAGAACTAAATATTTCGATGAGAGTACCAGTCGTAGACGAAACTCTCACTTATATCTAAGAATATTCAAATCTTAGTGATAACCTCAAAAACAGTCAAACAACTTGACACTACATCGTGAATTTCCGATGGGTAGTTGATTACTATTCTCTGCAATTACACGTATTATTAAACCATCTGCTTGTCTTACAAACAGCTCGGTTTGAATTATTGTATATTTTAAGAAAGACTCAAAATATTAATTCATAAGATCTGTCAAATGACCAGTGTTAATCAAACCTATTAATGATTAGCACAGTATTGCCATTAGATTCAATGAATTACCCATTGGTTGAGCTAGTATTGGTTATGCAAAATGAGTCCTTTCCAGTAATTAGTTAAGATATTTGAATAACTTATCTCTGCTCAACGTAATAACAATAAATTAATTTCATGCCAACTTCTATCAGTATCAAATCAATACTTTCCTTTCATTGACATGTCTCTGAGTTTCAAACACCATGCTAAATAATAATGTCCATTGAGTTTGTACAGACCCTTTCATTAAATGAACCAGTATTATATCCAGTCTTCAAACAGGACATAAATTAGATACTGAATGGTTTGTACCGTATAACACTCATCAATGGAGCAACTTGATCAAATATAGAGATCCTTTCAAAATGTAATTTATAAGATCATATGCACAAATCAATCTGTAGAAAATAAGTCTTCTTATCATAATGATCAAGAAAACCGTCTTCTTGAAATGAATATTGTCATACAGTAGTCAATAGCAACTAAGAAAGTAATCTTTATGTCATCAGTCAGATCTTGATCCCTGATTTTTTCAAAACATTTGGAAACAGTAAGCTTTTGTTATTGTTTAATCATACATAATATATCAGTTGATCTTCTTGAGATAATAAAGTTTCATTTAATAATTGAATTCACGAGTCAATTGAAGCTAGGCCACCATGGAAAACATGGAAGTACTGGAAGACCTTTTCGTTCTAGTATGGTACTCCTCAGAAGTGCGCATCCATGATCCCGCCGCGAACGCTCACGAACGCTTAACCTTTAGACCAATGGCCCAGTATCCAACCAATTCATTTATTTTTCAAACTTTCTCTAGATATTCACCACCTTCTATCAAGCCAAAACTATTTCAATCTTTAGTCCTGTTACGCTCACTGATCATATATTCCGGCTGTTTCTCAATTATCTATTACAGTGAAAATGAACAATACAATGTTACATGTATAAAATACATGTAAATCTATATTGCTCAACAGAGTTTATTTACAACCTAATAATTTTACTTAATGTAATAAATGTTGAGCTTGAAACTTTAACAGTAAAACAGAATAACGTTTATCACTTATCTAATCATGCTACATTTTAAGATGGATGGTGACTAACAGTGGAATCTAGGGTGTTCTTTTCGTCCACACTTGGAACTCTTCAGCTGAATGTACCGGCATCCCACCCATCTTTGCTTATAATGCTTTTGATTTAAGGTAATATCGAGGTAATGCATACAGAATACACATATATCGATAAGAGTCTAATCAATTACAGTCCTAAACATCAGTGGAGAAGATTCAAACAAACAATACAAAATGAATGTATACTACATTTTAGTTTGAAAATCTTTTGAAATTAGAATCATCATTAGTTCATGAAATGGATATTTTATATAAAGAGGTTGCAATTCCATACATCTTAATTTATACTGTTTAACTTACTTATTAGCTGGAGCAGCTTTCACTAGAGTAAAATATTAAAAATAAAATGGAGTTATGTAATCACTTTTGAGTTTAAATCAAGGTTGGATCACGGATTAAGATGATCTGCGAAACTATCAAGTGCTAGGAAACCTTGAATATAAATTATATATAAGTTGGTTACTATTCAGCAGTACATACGCTAAACTCTGGAAAGGATTGAATATACAATTTTCAGGTAAATCAAAAAGCTTTAAATTATTTAATCATTAAGTCAAATACATTGGTCTACTTTTATAATTCCACTATTTTCTATGATAAAATTTATTCATCATTAACAACGGATTGTTGCTTTTTATAGATATACACGATAAGTTATGGTAACTGCTAATATAGCTCATTATGTCAATGAATATTGCTTTTATTTAAATTCAACCAAAATTACATCTAAGAAAATTCATAGAAAAACATCCAATAAGATAAAATGAATGATGATTAGCGGTCCTACTTGGGACTCATCAGATAGATAAACCTGCATCCCAGAGTTGATTATCACTACAAGACTTGAACTCAGTACCGTACGGTTCAAACGCCGTCACGTTATCCATCTAGCCACTGAGTTCATCTTTGTTTATAATGTTTGTGACTTAAGGCAATATCGAGGCAGTCTACACAAGATGTACATATACCAACAAGAAACTGATCAATTACAGTCCTAAACAATATCAAATGAATTTAAAACACTTAATACATCATAAAAAGTAATTACTTACTTGTATTAAAATTACATATAATAACTAATAACATTGTACATGTTATAACAGTCCAAACGGATCTATTCATGATTGAATACTATTTTTAATAGTTAAGTAGTATATTCTAATAACTCAATTGTTTCTTCAAAGACTTTTATACAAAACTTTTAGTGTGTTTCTTTTTTTCTATTTTTACTTGGTAACAAGTGTTGTTTTTCTTTTCTTTTCTACTTTTCTAATATGTAAATAGTACTATTGTGTGTACATAATGTATAATGCTTAAATTGTATAGAACTCAATTGGAAAAAAAAGTAAATTTAGATAATATTACTGAAATACGATATGGTAAATTACATAATACACAATATATGAGATGATTATAAAGTTTATATTTATCATTATTATTGTTATTTACATTAGATTACATTATACTTTATTATTCTGTGTGAATATGATTCCACGAAATGTTATGTGGTAATGAGATTCATTAGTTTGAAGTAATAAAATCCATCATTGAATAGACTAGCTTCAACCGTGGTCACTTATTAGCTTCATTATACTTTAGGCCCTTAAATGCACTAGTACAGTTGAGATTAAGGCAAGTCAGCTCTCCCTCTTAAAATGTTCACACAGACACTATAAGTCCTACTCACTGCCTTCTCACGGCATTACTATTGTTTACGAAATTGAGAGGATGAAAAGCGAATGTCCGGTGCTTTAATCAGATTGGTGGATATGGAGGATCCACCTAGAGGAGTTAGAAAACCCTGATTTCAAACCAATGGTGTACATAGGATCCAATATCCTGAGGGAACAAATGGAGTATGAACCAATTATTGGTGACCGGTTACAATGGGACTGCATCTCCTGACGTTACTCCACTGCCTTGTAGATCAGACCTTTAGGACAAAGTGGCCACCTACGAAAACCACCTGATTTTGTCTGAGCACCCGAGCAGTATCACAGCCCACACACAAATCAAGTGGCTTGTATCGCCCCTTTGAACCAATATTTATGTATTCAAATAAATAAATAAATTTCATTCACCTAAAACTATTTATACATGTCTTCTATGAAGACGTTACTGTAGCGTATTCCAAATTGTTAAATGTTAAAAATAATATAGTGAAATTCGGAGACTGAAGTGAAATTCTCAGAAGAAATTATACTCTTATATGCAGCAATCACTCAGTAATTGAACAGCAAGATTCTAGACATTGCACACATACTGAACATTGAAGAGTAGATGAGCTGTAATTTTACGGATGTTTTCTATCCTTGTATAAAAAATAAAATAACTTTATACGTTTATAGTATTTAAGTAATACAGATGTTTACAAGATGGAAAAATCATGGGTCGAATAAATTTATTATTGCACGAAAAACAAAGGACCCTACCATTTTAAGATAAAAATGATCAGTATAGGGATTTGTGGATAAATGAAGGGTTGCGGAAGGTCATGGATTGATTGGAGTTAAACACCGTTGGATACCGACTCAGCGGTTTAGAGGTTAGGCATCTGCGCGTTAAACCGAAGGTTCTGGGTTCGTATCATTTATGCGGGATTGTGGACGAGCACTTCTGAGGAGTCTCATACTAGGACGAAACGGTTGTCCAATGTTTCTAGGTTTTCAATGATAGTCTAGCTTAGATCGACTCGTGAATTCAACTGTGAATATAAAAGATCATTAAAACCATTTTTCCGATACACCTTGAACAAGTAAATCATCTTTTAGAAATTATAAAATGTTAGAAAGAGATATTCCTTTATTGTTTACTATCTATAATGATGCATTCACCTAACAACTTTAAACAGAATAACGTATAAGATTTTCATGTCTATACAGTGACCATTAAGTTGAAATTTAGTGGTTAATATACACAACTTCCATTTATTCATAAAATGGCATGAATTTCGTTCAATAAAATAGTTAAATATCTTTCTTTTTGTCTTTTAAAAGCTTTCAAACAAGATATAATTCAAACCTAATAGATGGAATCAGTTGATAGGAAACTGTGGACTTAGATTTGTACTATTTAGCACTAGTTGGTATGGTATATCCGTAGTCTTGTATTCGGTGCCCCTTTGTACCAATATATATGTCATTGGTTGAAATCATGAGTCAATTGAAGCTAGACCACCATGGAAAACCTGGAAGCACTGGATCGTGGATGCGCACTGCTGAGGAGTCCCACAATAGGATGAAACGGCAGTCCAGTGCTTCCAGGTTTTCCATGGTGGTCTAGCTTCAATTGGCTCATGATTTCAACCAGTGGAATTTCTAAATTCTCCACAAAACCCCTTCTGACAATATATATGTGTTTAAATAAATAAATATACAAATAATCTTTTCTACTATCGCTTATACTATTAATAATTCTGCTATTCCAACATCTAATTATAGTTATGTATTACTGAATTACTTACTTACTTACGCCCCTTACCCCTCATGATGATGAGTCTAAAGTTTAATATCATCATTATTTACATTAGATTACATTATATCTTATTATTCTGTGTAAATATGATTCCATGAAATGTTATGTGGTAATGAGATTCATTAGTTTGAATTAATTAAATCCATCATTGAATAGACTAAAATGTAAAGTCGATTTGATAATAAATCATAATAGTTCATGAATGGTTCGATTATTCTAATGGATTTAGTCAGCAATTTCATTCTATGCATTAAGTGCAATTTAAGATACTGTGTCTGATATGTTATGTAATAGTTGACTGGGATTTGCGAGTGAATGAAAATAAACAAACATTTCATAATCAATAATATTGTAAATGTGATTCTTACTCTGAATTCATTGTGTGTAAACTAACTGTTTTGTCTTTGTGGTTAAGTTTTTAATTGTCAGCCGTGAATCGTGTATCTGGCTAGTATAGAGGTGTGGTGTGCCCTACCGATTATCTTGTATATCATATATCACATTTAGTATTATTGTGTTATCTCGTATAAACGATAAATTAATCTAACTGTACCATTAAATCACTGTTATAAAGAAATATTTTAAAAAAATTCACTCTTTAGTTTCACTGAAATCATGACCACTATTGAAAACCTAGAAGCGCTGAACGGACGTTTTGTTCTAATATAGTACTCTTCAGCAGTGAGCAGACACGAAACCTGGTATGAACTTCGAACCCAGGGCCTTCGATTTCCATTAATCGAAGTTAGACATCAACTCCATTGGATACCGGCCCAGTGATCTGAAGGTTGAGCATTCGCGCTCTAGACCGAGTTTTCTGAGTTTGAGCCCCGTTTGGGGGTCATGGATGCCCACTGCTAGGGAGTCCCATACTAGGACGAAACGGCCATCCAGTGCTTTCAGGTTTTCATTGGTGGTCTGACATTGATTGACTCGTGATTTCAGCGGAACTCAATAATCTTCACAATCATATACTGATAATTACTTATCAGTGTTTTCACTTTAGCTGTTATTTCAAATGTGTTTTTTCATTGAATTCAGCCTGTATACGTTTTAATGATCGTCAGTTGACTTACTTCATCATATGTTATACTTCGAAAAATGTATTCCAATATCATTACTTCAGAAGTAATCACTTTTGTGATTTAATGAGTACAAACACTACTTTGACAGTGATTAATTGAAGACTGCACGAGAAGTCGGTCATATTTCTGATGTAGTTTGTATTCTCATCTGACAATAATTTAGCAGAATTTTATATATTCATAATATTCTATCAATAACATACTTACTAATGTGTATCATAACATTTTATTGTATCAGATAATGATATTTGCGTCAGTTCTGAGCATGTTAGAGCAAATCACAGTTCCCATTCCCAACTAACAAATTATTTCGTCAACATACTTATCTCTGTATACTATGTATAAGTTGGTGAACTTATTTTCATGAATACTGATTTCAACAATCTTACGTGATTCTTATTGATCTCCCCTGTAGCCTTTGTCTTCAGAGTCATTTAGTCGCTACAATGTATTTAGAAAGCTTGTGAGATATAGACTGAATTAGGTGCTTTTTGTCAGGCTTACTAGTTTGTAAGCTTTATCCTAATCCAGTTATTAGATATTCTAATCTAATGTAATATCATATACTTTCTAGACTTATATCGTGGTCTAACTAGACTAAATTGATAATGAGATAATAAAAAAAGAATACAAAATGATTTAGGATCGAAAAGATTTAACATTAAATTATTTAACAGCCTAACCGGGTAAAGTTTTTATAGGGAGTAAGAAGGTTATACAGTTTGTTCTGTGTGACGAATGGATTGATGTAATGATCAGTTGTTGTTAGGTGTGCATCATAAAATCAAATATTTGGAATGAATGAAATAAACGGCAAGTGTAAAACAGGATAAAATGACTTGTTACGGAATTTAATTATAGGATAATAAAGTTAAAAACTCAAACACTCTATATATTACTAAACTTTAGTGATAAGATCAAATTACTTTGTAAAGAAACAATTAATTTTTGTTAAGTGAAACATTTCAAGTAGTGCCAAATGGCATTATCCGATCTATTTGAATGAAAATGGTCTGACAATTAAGGAGCCAACATCAGTTCAGAATTCAAACCATAAAGATTCTAAAATCTCTACAAACTCTACTCCGTATACTAACATTAATCATATGCTCACTAGTGACCAGATTCAAGATGCAACTCTTGGAGTGACTAGTGAAGTTCAACCAAATCGAATGTCAGATAATTGTCTATCACAGATAATGAATAAGAGTTGTGCAGTATCGTAAATTAATTGAATTTAGACATATTCACCAATCAATCCCAGCTTAGTGGTCCAGAGGTTAGGCCTTTGCGCGTGAAGCCAAAGTCCCCAATTTCAATTCTCAGATGTGGAGTCCTAGGTGCACATAACTGAGAAACCTAGTGCTAGGACGATACGATCGTTCAGTGCTTCCTGATCTCCAATGATGACCCAGCTATCTATTTATTGTAGTTTTATGGGGAATGTAATTTCTTGATGGAAAATATGTTTACTTAAGCTTACCACGTACTACTATTTCTACGTTATTAGAGCCATGATATTTGTCTACCTGATATAAATAATAATGTGAGTAGTCGATATTA